CTTTTATTATACAATATATACAAAACGGATGAATGATCTTATGAAAAGTGCGTCTTATTTACATTAAAGTACGGTAAATATCTATTTCAAATAATCTTTTGGTTACATTTTATGGAATGATTACATATACATATTTTATCTTATATAATAAGGGGAATTCTATAGCTCGCGAGCGGCTCTTTGTGGCTCTCAAGTAAATTTGAAAATGTAATTTTAATTTTTTAATATTGAATATGGACAAAATTCTCCAAAATACAGCGATACCTCGTTTAGTCCTTCTTATATGACCGCTTCGCTATAGTAAAATTGCGCTAACGATTCTATTAAAATTTATATAATAAATAAAATATATTCCTGCAATGGAGGGATTTGCAGGAAACAGCTGACCACTGTACCTGTAGGGTCCAATTAGAATTTCATTTTATTCATCACATTAGTTTTGTCACCTTCTACATTTCAAGAGTGAAATTATTTTTGTGTTCATAAGAAAATACGGGAGGCTTCTCTGAGCTATAGTTCATTTAGCCCTATGGTTACGGTGGCTCTGATTATAGTATCGGATGAAGATAGCAAGTCATAAAAGGTATTTTATTTGTTATATAATCAATCAAAAGATTCTTTTAAATGTTTTGGGTATTATTCGCAGAGTGATTAGGTAGAATTTTCTATATCTTAATTGGATGTCAGTTACAGATGAGGTAATCAAAACGAAGCTTTGAACAGGTATTGTGTAAGCTATCAGGTAGTGTTCGTTCTATTTAAAGGATTCGAGGTATTGTTCTAAGCCTGCGGATGACAGATTGGCCGTCTTGGATTGAAGTCTTAAACGGTTGGTATCGAGTAACCGCGAAAACTAATTAAAAAAGCAGCCCCAATGAGAGACTTCGTAAACAGGGTGCAATTACTTTAATATCGGTTTTAACATTGTTCGCTTTTATTGCCAATACGATGGATGTTACATATTAATGGTTTCATTAAAACTCGTTGACGTTGGGATAAT